AATAATAATAATAAAAACACTTCTCTAATTTAGGGCTAATGTGTAACTTAGGAATGTTTCTTTCAAAATAATCTAACAAATCAGCCATAGAAGTTAGTGTAAATATTTTTTTTCCAAATAGATATCATATACAAAAGGTGACATTCAAATGATATAGAATCTAGTTTTTAAATCAGCACAGATCTTCTTAAAACTGTGAACTATGTTTTGAAATAACTCGTTGCTAAAGCTGTTTATAAACCACAGGTGCCATAAGATCCCTGAACTGACTGATGTTACGTATAATCCTCCATGGTATTGTTTCATTGATGTTCTAGCTTTAGTAAGCATGTGTTCAACAAACCGGCTCTTTCCATCTCTCTGCCCCTCCTTCTCCCCCCCCCCATGTTATTTTCGAGGCCTTCAGCTTTAAATGTACAGGCTTAAAGTGCGCTTGCAACCGTTTTCTTTTTATTTCCGAATGTGTATTGCCTTAGCCAGCCACCAGATGTTCTGCATGCACTCTTGGAAATGTGTAGTGAGACTCTTTCGGAGCTGGATGGAGAAATAGCTATCAGTGAAAAGCACAAGAAAAGCGGTGGATTTTTTCGAAAGGACAGGCATACAGTTACAGAATTGGAGTTTTGTCCGGTTTAGTATTTTTCAAGTATACAGGCATTTCGGGAGAAAGGGGACTTACCTGGCCATTTTGGATTAGGCACCGAGCCTGCTAGCTAAAAAGTGTTTCCTCTGCTGTGACTACAAACCCACAGATACTCCCGAGCGGAGATTGGCACAGGCTGGCTCTGATGTCCTCCCCGCAGCAATTGCTTGGAAATAAAGATGACGCCTGTATGGCACGTAGCAGTGCCGTGCAGAGACATCAGAGCCAGGCCAGGAACAGCTCGAGAGAAGCCGGGCAGGACCGCAGTGGGATGTAACACGCTGGCCGCGCAGCCCTCCCGAGAAGCGCAACACGTTAGCTCGGGACGACGTGTGTGCTGATGTAATTTTGCTGCCCTAATACAATTTTAAGCTTCCAGTATTTGGCTGACCTGAACTGACACTAACAGCCCTGAAAACAGTTGTGTTTCATACAGATATTTCACACCAGCACAGTTTGCCTACAGCAAGCAATGAGATGCCCACCTAAAGCAGGTTAACATGGTTTGTCTGTCCTTGCTTTCCTGGTGACGTGGATGTGTGCTGCCCTATTGATGTGAGGTTGCTAGGTGGCACGACCCAGTAAGTCCACTTGTTTGCATGCGCTCTCTGGGCTCGTGGCTGTTTCCCTGGGCACTATGTGTTAGGGAATGAGTATCTGTATGAAAAAGCTGCTGCCATTTTTCACTTTCATATTGTATTATTGCATATGCAGATCACTTGTCCGCATCTCCTTGCTTATCTGGGTTTGGTCTCAGACATCCAAATGCATACTAAGGCGTCCGGATAGCTTCATGTGAGCTTTTCATTTTTGTAATCCCTGGTCTTTGCTCCTGGGGTACGTGCCGTCCTGGCAAGGCGGGCACCATATCCTCCGATGCCCCCTCCTCCAACCTCCTCTCAGGAATGCATGAGCCTCCACTAGTGCCTCGCACTCCACGTTTAAAGCTCCACCAGTGAAGCTGTAGATGTTGCTGTCAGCTCAGGATTCCAGGCAAGCATTTCCTGAACAGGTAAAACAAGCTAGAACACAGCTACAGAGATGTTGCTGTCAGCTCAGGATTCCAGGCGAGCATTTCCTGAACAGATAAAACAAGCTAGAACACAGCTACATGCAATGGCTGACTAATTCAACCCATGTCGTGTTTAACTGTACCCAAAGTAATAGATCCCGCCCATCATCTTAGTGTCTGCACCCATGTCGTGTTTAACTGTACCCAAAGTAATAGATCCCTCCCATCATCTTAATGTCTGCGTCCTCATTATCGCTATGCTTAAAATAGATGCAATAGAATAAATCCATTGCAAGGGCTTCCGGACTAGGAGTAAGGAAAAAAGTTGATGGATCAAGCGCCTTTCTTTCAGGCTGGTGCCAACAAGATGGTCCCCAGCAGAGCTCTGGGTCGTTTAACTGTACCCAAAGTAATAGATCCCTCCCATCATCTTAATGTCTGCGTCCTCATTATCGCTATGCTTAAAATAGATGCAATAGAATAAATCCATTGCAAGGGCTTCCGGACTAGGAGTAAGGAAAAAAGTTGATGGATCAAGCGCCTTTCTTTCAGGCTGGTGCCAACAAGATGGTCCCCAGCAGAGCTCTGGGTCCCTTATGCCCTGGAGCTCTGAGATGAAGCACCTCTTACTTGGCTCTCCAAATATCTATTTTAAGCATTTTCCAACTGTTAAGCTGGCTGCGTTTTTACCCAGCTGGTCTTTGTCTGCTTGTTGAATATTATTTTGGTTGTGGTTTGCGGTTATTGAAACAAACGGAGTTACAGAAGAGGTCCCTGGCGTGGGCCTTTTCTTAATTACCAATGGCCCACCACAGCAGTCAAAACTCTGGGTGGTTTTACTGTCACTGGAGGGAAACCAGTGGTTTGGAATCAGGAGACAGGGATGTGAAGATGTATAGGGTCCTTGAATGTCCAAAGCGAAGGTGGAGAATGGGTTGTCTGTAAGTAGTAATGTTAACTAAACTGCATAAAAAAGGTGTGTGGCCTTTGTTGTGATATAATATGTATTTTCTTATATGCATGAGCCAAATTGTTGCATCATAATTTATCATAAGTGTGTCCGCCTTTACTTTCAGTCATCTTCTCCCATCCTTATTGGTTCTTGGCAATTGCTGTAGATAGACCTTGTAAATATTGCAACCTCGGGTTGCTGTGATCACGTTGGTTCAATTCAGCAGGCGGAGCTGCGAACAACAAGCGCTCCTCTGTGTCCCGAAGGCAAAAGGGCATTTTTACCTTTGAACCAAAAACAACAACAAAAAAAAAGTATGAAGAGTTACATCTTGAGGCTACTAACTGTAAGACGTTTTTAAAACTACTGTACTTGACACCACTTGAGACAGATACAGAGACACTGAAGATGTCACGGTATTCATTGGTATTGTAACAGAACTGCTATTGTATGGGTTTTTTTGTATTGCTGTTAAGTATTGTTTTGTGTGTGTGTGTTGGAACCTACTGGGGACATGTTATATTTTGAAGTGATTAAACTATTTAATTGTGTGTCTATATTTTGGAATGGAATTATTTCTTCATTAAAAAAGATTTTTAAAAGTAATTTAAGGAGCATTGTGTTTGTGGCTTATTTTGGTTTTGAAAGTCCTGTTCCATGGAGCCCGAGCTGCGTGTTATTTTTTGTCCGCAGGGAAGGAAGATGTGTCCCCGGGGCACAGCAAGCAGGCTTTGCTTCACCCACGCTCGCTCCTCCGCCTCCGCGCAAGAGAGCTCCTTCCAGTTCTTTCCCCAGCGCTTCGAGCATGGTACCGAGCAGCACCTGCCTTCACGGCCCAAGCAGTTTCTTCTTTCCTCCTTTCTTAATTCTCTGCATCGTTGGCAGTTTCACAACCTGAGAATGGCAGTTCCCCTGTCTGTAAAACGTCTCCCCCTGCTTCCACTTAACAGCAAGGAAAATCACCGTAGGCAGAGACACCTGGTACAGACCTGCGAGGGGACCCTGGTCCTCAGGAACCTCAGCTAGCTCCAAGAGTGTCTTTTTTCTTACCCACTGTGTTTCTCCCTGTCCCTAGAGGGAGTGAAACCTTGGAAAAGGTGCATTTTAATGGCTTTACCACACACAGTCACGTGTTCTCTTTTGTTGCAGAAGGACACGAAGTCTTTGTTTTTCCAGTTACACTTTTAAGATATGTTTCCGTATCAGGTGGTGGGAATTACAACCGGTTGCTAACCTGAAAGAGCACAGAGTTGCAAAGCAAGAGCTCTTGTGTAAAGCAGCCAGTTCGTGCCCTGTGAAGTACCCCCAAGCGTGGCAGAGCCAGACCCACCGGCGGTGCCCGGCTGTGCTTTTTGTGCCCGTGGTGCGGGTGGTCCGCAGGGCAGCTGGCGGAGGCTGTGGGCTCTGTTAGAAGGAAAGCAGTAGCGGCACACCAAAAATACCCTCTGTCTGCTTCCCACATATCCCAGTATCTCGGGAAGCAGATAAACCCCAGTCTGCTGCCGCCTCCTTCATCGTTGACTGCTGTGGTAACCTATAAATCACCAGGGTTTATTTGCCCTAATTCCCCTGTCTACATGGTGACGTTCTTCAAGTAAAGACGATCATCTTACACTGTAAATTATTTGCCAGATCTGCTGAACTTTGCCTCCACAATCCCAGTCCAAATTCATATCCGCGGGATTGTAATATATGATGACATATCATCAGCTCGTGAGGATAACTGTTTTATCCGTGCATAATCCCAAATTGCTGTATTTCTTCCTAACCCACAATCAGCCTATGGCCTTTGGGGAACAAAGGAGCCAGTGAAAACTAATTTATAGGCAAAGGCTGTTTTCCTCTTTGCCTCTTGGTTACTCTAGCTACTTTCTGCTCCCCACAATGAAAATAAGCTCATATGGGAAGAAATAAATGCATTTCATTTGCAAAAGGAAATAAAAATACTAAAATATAATAATATAAAAATAACAAGATTTAAAAAATAAAATATAAAATAAAATAATAAAATAAGTGGTCTTTAGATCTGGGAAGTTGGCACCTTGGCTGCATCAGCACTGAACTAGGTGACTGAAAGCATCTGGAACTTTCTGAGAGCACCGTGGAGTTCCGTTCCGCAGCACAGGGATTTGCTTGGGAGGCCTGGTGCTCCGCAGTTGCGTATTCCCTTGGAAGCAGCTCTTAGTTCTGGGTGAAACCTTGTAAGCGAGTATCACAGGAATACGAAGCTGAGTCTATCACAGAAATAGGTTAAGTGGGGTGGGAAGAGAAATCTCTATTGTTCCACGATGAAAAAATGCATTGAAGAATTTCATACGCTTCAGGATCATCCTGTCTAATACCCCAGATAATCTGCAGATTAAGGATTCCCCTTTGCTTTCT